TATGTTTTCCAGTATCTTTCCACAAATCTTCAAACCAAAGAGTACCCCCTCCCACCATCCCGGGTCACCCCTCGCTCCTCTGGTGTGTGCAAACATCAGCCGTGGTGCCTTATTATCCAAGTCCATCCATCACTCGGCTGCAGACCCACCAGCCCCTTGCCTGTCCCCGTGGCCACCACCCCACCACCCACTCCCAGCAGTCGAACAGACAATGCTTCTCCCCAACTCTCCATGCCCAGGAGTAATGCGTTGTTAACGGCCTTTCCAGAAAATATGCAGCAGGGGATGGGGTGGGGTGGGGGGAAAAAGATCCCTCTTTCCACTCCTGGACTGGCTCCTATGTGGAGATGAGCTTTGCATCTTCATAGCTGCTGAGGAACACACTGTCCCCAGGACTTGGGGGGACATCCCGCACCTCGCACCCTGCAAAGCCCCAGTTGAGATGCTTCAGGAGGGTACCAGAGAGCAGCAACAGCAGCCCGGGCAGGCTGGAGTGGGCAGCGAGGGAGGAAAACATGGAGGCACAGTGCATGGAGGCTTTTACGTTAGCTAGGGGAAAAGAAATCCATCCTGCAGAGCCCCAACGGGGACCAATCCAGGCCAAGCAGGGAGTAATCTCAGACCAAATATAGCCCACGCTGCGGATCAGGGCTCACGGCAGCGTGCTGGGCTGCATTTAACTCAAAGTTCATTGCACCCAGCTGCTTCCAGCCGGGCACCCAGCACCTTCTGCCAATGCCCTCTCCCCATCGAGGAGGGGCCCGCAGCTGGCGAGGCTGCGACCCTCCCGCCACGGCAGCCTCCTCTTCACCCCACACCGCCTTCACAAACTGCATCTATTTATTTGTTTATTTCAACTGAAAACATCTGGACTAAACAACAAGCCCATAAATAAAAGCAAAAAATTCAGGCGATCTGTTAGTTCAGGAAAAGAAGATGCACTGTTTAAAATGGGGGGGGAGAACCGGCATTTAAGACAAACCCACAAATAATTTTCAGCTCTGTATTAGCTCCAGGCAGAAAAAGTTTTGTACGGCTGTAGTAGCACGAGGGCTCTGCCGAAAGCCCTTGCACCAAGGCAGCATCCCTCCCTCCATCCCTGCCAGCCTGCCTGCGCAGAGGAGGGCAGCAGGAAGGCAGGCAGAGACAAGGGCAGAGCTCTTCGCAGAGCAATGAAAGACCCAACAAGAGGGTCTTTCAGTTCCTCCTGGGATGGGAAATGTTTTACACAGTGGCACCCACAGCAAGGGCTGCGCAGACCCGGTGGTCCTCCGGCCAGGGATGGGCTGGCACCCAAGCTCTCCCGTGCCGGGATCTGACCTGCTCCCGCAGCCAGGACAGGCTCAAATTCAAGGGGGAAACTGTTCTGTTCATCATCCACCTCCCAGGAAAATCAGCGGTACTACAGTCTCAGTGGCTAAAACCAGTCTGAGACACAGGACAAGGCAAAAGCATCATTTTTTCCAGCAACATAATGGGGGGAAAAAAAAAAGTCCACTTTATTTCGATAAACAGTACATTTAGAATTGCTGCATTATCAGAAAAGGGACTTCTGTACATGGATGATAAAGCAGGATGTATCCAAATTCCAGCAACAAAACAGGCATCCCTTTTGAAGGGCTTATCGGCGCAGAGCACGCAGCAGCGGGGCTCGCAGTAGGAGCACGCTCCTGCTCCAAACCGCTCCGCTCCCCCTAACCCAGGCCCTGCAGAACGAAAGCCAAAGGCGTCCTCGCCTACACCACAACGTCTGAACGAGTCCAAGGCACAAAACAGCCAAGGCTTCATGTGAGGGGACTATTTTGAGAGTAATATCCATATCTAGGGCTAAGTCACCTAAGAGTTGTTGGCTATGGTGACCACTGAGTTAGCAATCACCAGTTAGTTGTCCTTAAACATGGCCAGGCAGATGTCCACAAACACAAGAAGCATTTACACACAGTCCCTATAAGCAACTTGCTTGTTTTCCCTGAAGGAGCCTGATTTTTCTCCCTTCTAGCCCACACAAGAGACAGGCAACAGAAGGAGCTACACACGGAGCCAGCGGAGAGATGCTCGGGGGAACCGAGGGGCACACCAATTAAACTGTGATTGCTGTGAATGCATGAGAGGGGAAATGAGAGATCAGAGCCTCTATAATCATTGTGCACTTAGTCCCCCGATTCTGAGCAGCTAATGACAACTTCTAGCCAAAAATCATGGAGATAACCAGTCATTAGCAAACGTTACAACCCTCGAGAAGGAAAACGCGCTGCGTAACTGGAGGCAGCACACAGCTCCGGGTCAGTCACAGGGGAGCATCCCCAGGCACCACTCAGCTGAAGCAGCTCCATGGCACTGGGAGGGTTGTTTTAATCTCCACTAACAATAAAGCCTGAGCAGCTAATGTTTCCAAACATCAGGATTTTATGAGCCTCTGCCTTACAGCTCCGTAATAAGACAGCCTCAACAGGAGATCCCATTAAACTGATCAGGCATCCTCAAGAACCAACGCAAGCTGACAGAGCCACGTACCCGCAACCCTCAACACCAGACCCATGAGCTCAGCCTGTGAGCGGGTGCCCCTGCTTAGACGAATCCTGGCAGTCACAAGGAGAGATCTTGGCACCGGGACGCTCCGAAGGGTCATCCCCCCCAAGCAGTTGGCCCTTGTAAATCAGTGGTAACGCTACGGCATGCAGAAAGCTTGCGATCCCACCCAGCATCACGCAGGCTGGCACGACAGCAGCAGGCAGCACTCAACACAAGCGGTTGAGACGTAATGTATGTATACAACTGCCTGGAGAAAGTCGAGTCTTCTGACCCC